CTTCAAGGAAGGCGACGTCAAGGTCAAAGTGGTGGACGAGAATGAACTAACAGTCGAAGGCAATTTGGAGATCAAGCGAGGCGATTCCGTGTCCAGCAAGAGTTTCTTCCGCCGTTTCTGCTTCCCAGGACTCGTGAGTGCCGACACCGTGAGGTCTGGGATGTCATCTGACGGCATCCTCACTGTTACTGTACCAAAGGTAAGTCTATGCAAGAATTTTCATTAATCATTTCCTTTTACATTATGGACTCCAAACGATTTAGTTCTTTAAGCACAGTTCAATAATTCCAACTTTCTTTAATCAGAAAACATCAGGATCTAAGGCCAGTGCAGTTTCTGAAGCTCACGTTTCCCAGACTTCATCTCAAAGCACTGGAGAAAATCTCACAGAGAAAACAAAATCAGAAAAGCAAAGTTTTCGCTCCGGGTATCAGAATACATGTACTAAGAAGACTGAAGCGACTTCATCGTCGTTACCAACGAACAAAATCATCAGCGAGGAAAAACAAGAAAAGCAAGAAAAAGACGCCCATAATAAAACCAGTGAAATCGGATCCATGCTTTCACACAACATACAGTCAAGCAAGGACGCAGTGGACAAGTGCCTTTCCATTTCCTCGAAGGGTCATTTCTTCTCTGATTCCTTCTTCGAAGACGTTCGTAAGGACTTCGAAACGGCTGTCAATGAAGTCCTCAGCAGGCATGATATGGGGAGTGCCAACGACGAAATCTCCTGCTACCGAAGTCTACGGGAACGTGAGCTCAAGGATGAGACTCAGGCGATGAAGACTACAGAAGATCAAAACGGATTTAAGGTGAGGATATGACATCGTGGAGAAGTAATATCATCTTTAAAAAACATTTAAAAATATTTATTTTCGCATATCTTTAATATCTTTAAAAAATATATTAAATTTGATTTATTTTCGCCTCATGCCTCACGTTAAATGATACTAATATTTGCTAATATCATACTTAGGTAGTGTTAGACGTCCACGACTTCATGAACGAAGACGTCAAAGTGAAGGTGGTGGACAACAAGGAGGTGGTGGTGGAAGGTCGTGCGGAGAAGAACGACGGAACCTTGAGGTCAAGCAAGAGCTTCTGTCGGCGCTTCACTTTTCCTGGCGCAGTAGACATGAATGCTGTCACTTCAGCTATGTCCTCCGATGGTGTCCTCACCATTACAGCACCCAAAGTTTGAAAATAGGGGACACTGAAAACTGTATCCGCTGAGACAATATGTGAAGATATTTCACAATGCCAAGGTTATCAACTGTTATGCTGAAGATATTTAAAGAATAGCATTGTTGAAATATATATTTTATTTTAATCTATTTTTATACGAAATGAAATGTATTGATTTATACTGCTTTTTACATTACCTCCGCTACCATATCTTTTATCCACCTCTAATGAGTGGTTTTGGTGCGCAAAAATATTGCCAAACTCTTACTACAGACACTTATTCATGGCAGACTGCTATGCTTAGGCTACAGAAACATATAGACAAACGTATACAATATTTAAATACCTTGCTCGACCACACGTCATTCTCTATTTCAAAATAGAAAAGAGAATTAAGGGAACTTTGACTTTCATTATCAGTTCGATAAATTATATTTTCAATAAAGTTATACATATAGAGATATCATTTCGTCCATAATTTATCATTTATACATAAGTAATGGAAAGTTTATCTATCTATAGAATTTTTGATACGGGCAAGCACACAGAAACAAGCACTGAAATGGATGTACACAAGGGTGCCTATTTTTATACATGTTGATGTACACATTTAATGTACAAAATCCAAATGCCTCTTTCGTTTGCTTACTCCTCTGTCTTGCAAATGATGCTAAGAATAACAATAAAAAACATTGTGTATTCGCATTCCATAAAATTCTGAATTACAGTACAATACAATTCTGGAAATAAATGAAAATGTCAAACTATCATTAATCATTATGTCAAACAATCATGGATAAGAACTCTTTTTCTCTTTTAATATACAGTTGAACAAAGAAATTATAACAAGAACACGTCAAAGCATATTAGTGTCTAGATTCTGAAACTCGAATCATAAAGGCGTTTGTAAAACAATGCTTTCTACACACACACATATATATATGAATGTATATGTATGCGCACATAACCACTCACCCATGCACAAACACACATATGTATTTACACACACACACACATATATATATGTATGTATATACAAACACACCCGTAGGTATACATATATTTCTATTCATTTATGTATGTTTATATATTCTCTGTATGTGTATGTAGAATGTATATTCACATATTAATAGATATATTACATGTATATTTGTATGTGTGCATTTGTGTGTATGTAGATCTGTGAGTTTGACATGAAAATCACTTTTCATGTAACATTCAACATCCACTTTTTTTTTTTTAAGAAACAGTGAATAAAATCGCAGATGAATAGTACATCATGTTCAACGCACAACCCTGATGTGTCGTGTTCACACACACACATATATATGTGTGTGTGTGTGTGTCCGTGCGTGCGTGAATGAGTGTGTGTGTCTTTGTGTGAACATAACTTACCAATGAATAACGTTGAAAATGATGTAATACACGTGTGTGTTAATGTGTGTTTCTGTTTGTGTGTGTATTACAAATATGCACACACACACATACGTATATATAGTAGATATATACATATATATTTATATATACATATATACAGATATTATTTATATGTACATTCATACATACGTACACACATACACAGGCATATATATATATATATGTGTGTGTGTGTGTATGTGTGTGTGTATTACATCATTTTCATCGTTAATCACTGGTAAGTTATATTCACACATAACTATGTATATATGAATATATATAAATACACACATATTTATATATATATGGATATATATGCATGCATATATGTATATGTATGTATATATATACAGATATGCATATATAAATACATGTATGTGTATATACATATGTATATATATATTTGTACATACATATGTATACATATATATACATATACCTATATATGTATATACATACATATATATACACACACACACAAACGTACACACACACACACATATATATGTATGTATACGTTTATGTATAAACATATATACATATCCATATAAATATATATAAATATGCATATATACATATATATATATAATTACACACACACACACAAACACACACATACACACACGCAAACATATATATGTGTGTGTGTGTTTGTGTATTCATATGCATATACATACATATATATACATATATAGAGAGAGGTATAGATATATATGTATATATATACACATATGCTTTTATACACTTAAACACACACACACACACACAGACACACGCAGGCACGCACATATATATAAACAAATATATATATATATATATATATATATATATATATTTATTTGTTTATATATGTATATGTATGTATATATATACAGATATGTATATATAAATACATGTATGTGTGTATACATATGTATATATATATTCGTACATACATATGTATACATATATATACATATACCTATATATGTATATACATACATATATACACACACACACACATATATGTATGTATGTATACGTTTATGTATAAACATATATACATATCCATACAAATATATATAAATATGCATATATACATATATATATATATATAATTACACACACACACACACATATATATGTGTGTGTGTGTGTTTGTGTATTCATATGCATATACATACATATATATACATATATATACATATATAGAGATATAGATATATATGTATATATATATACAAACATATGCTTATATACACTTAAACACACACAGACACACGCACGCACGCATATATATATAAACAAATATATATGTATATATATACATATGTATGCACAAACACATATGTATATATGTATATATATGAAAGGTATATGTATAGATAGATAAATAGATATGGATATAAATACACCTGAACATATATATGTATATATGTATGCATGTATGTATGTGTGTGTATATACGTTTGTGTATGTATATGTATATGTATATATATACATATATATATATATGTGAATATATGTCTATATATATCTGTATGAATATATATATATACATATACATGAATATATTGTATAAATCGTATAGTATAATATTTACGAAATGAGATCATTTCTTATATGTATACTTTTACGCAAGCCTGTAAGGACCACAACAAACTTCAACATCCATATTTGGTCTCAAGGAATTCAAGAGGCGCTTCACGGAGGACTCCCCTTAATACAAACAGGATCAAACTGTATCATTTACTTCTAGAGAACATGGAGATCTGTATCCCTATTTCTTGGCTGCTTTTCTTACGTAAGGGGGGCATTCTGGTACCACTTGAATTATATCAGAATAAAGAATAGAGGATCAGCAATACGTGATAGTTGTCATATCACCCATGTAACGAGGTTATATCAGATGTAGAAAAATCGACATCTAAGACAAAGATTAATAATGGCGAATTTACTGCAGATCGTAAATAAGATATACGGAATGACAATAATAATGATAATAATGGTAATAATTACAATTATTATCATAATGATAAGTATAAAAATGATAATAACAACAATAATAATGTAATGTAATAAAAAGATTAAGTCATTAACGTACGCTACAGCCATATGGTAATTCTGTCTTTACTATATTAGGAATATGGGCATCGCCATATCATGAATACAAATCGATACACAGAAAAGGAATAAGGACTGAACCAGAATCTTCTCATAGCGCGAGGAAGGGAAAGGAACGCGCTATGACATCATCAGGTATGTCTAGGTGGTGGGCGTCGCTCCAAGTCGGGCCACATAAAACGCGGCGCTTCGTCTGACCCGCCAGTTACTTCTACGCTAACACTTGTAGTGAACACACCGCTAACTCAACATCCTCCCTCTTATCAGGTCTTAATATATCTGTGCAAAGAAAAAGCAAAATGGCCCCAATTCAAAAGCACTTCTCTTCTCACGTTGAAGACAACTCAAGCAGTGCAAGCAGCAAGAGCTTCAAAGCCAGCAGTTCCTTCCACACAATCAAAACGTCTTCATCCCAGAACAGTGCAATTGCCAGTGAAAGCAAAACATCCACGAACTGTGATCAGCCAGAGAAACGCATCTCACACACTGAAAATCAGGCTGAGCGAGAGGTAATGCTGCCCATCATCTCACGGGGTCATTTCCACCACGACTCGTTCTTCGAGAACCTCCGCCAGCAGTTCGATACCGCCGTGCGAGACATGCTGGATCAGTGGAATTCACACTCATCCTTCGAGGACGACCTTCTTTCCTACAGACGAATGCGAGATCTCAACCTCACGGAAGAGAATCAGGCTGTTTCCGTCAGCCAAGACAACAAGTCGCATCAGGTAAGTGGCTTCCACAGTAATTATCTATCTTACAGTGAAACATACCTATCATTATCTGTTGCTTGTATGAATGAATGAATTAAAGATGCAATAATGACCACTGACTTTCCAGGTCGTGATTGACGTGCGCGACTTCATGGACGGCGATATCAAGGTGAAGGTGGTGGACGACAGCGAACTGGTGATAGAAGGTAGCGTCGAGAAGCGACAAGATGGCGCCGTCTCAAAGAGCACTTTCTGTCGACGATTCTCATTCCCGGGTCTCTTGAAGGAAGACACTGTGTCCTCGTCCATGTCAGCAGATGGAGTTCTTACTGTCACTATTCCGAAGAAGGTACGTGGTAAAAGATGTGAAAACGGATTGAACACGATCATCATTTCATTCAGCACGTTGTGTAAATACTTTTTACAGACAGTGAACCTTCATTAACATGAAATTCTTCTTCCAGAGTTCCTTGACAAACAAGGAGGCCCAAACTATCAAAATCACTGCCTCGCACAAAAACTCTGCAGATGCTACAAATACACACCAGAATATCACAAACAACGTCAAAGCAAAACAAGTTAGTGTCGAAGAAAAATCATCAAAATCATCTCGAGCGAAAGTGCAAGATCAAGCTCAGTCGACGGAGTCTCAGAACACGCAGGCTTCGAGCGAGTCGACGGAGGCCAAGCCACTTGCTCCCTTCCACCTTCTTCCCATTTCCGAAAGAGGGCCTTTCTTCCGCGATTCCTTCTTCCAGGACACTCGACAGACATTCCAACAAGCCGTCGACCAAGTTCTCAAAGACTGGGGACAACTGGACTCTGCGAGCGACCACATGGACATGTACAGGAACTTGCGAAAGCACAACTTGCAGGAAGAGAACCAAGCCGTCGCCTTCAGCGAGGACCACCAGTGTTATAAGGTCAGATACATGACATTTGACTTTCATTTTATCATGTAAAAAATCGTTCGTTTCATAAACTGAAGCTGTTGCATCCACGCGTGCCAATTAATACCAATATCATTCCAATTGATTCAGATTGTGGTGGATGTACAAGACTTCAAGGAAGGCGACGTCAAGGTCAAAGTGGTGGACGAGAATGAACTAACAGTCGAAGGCAATTTGGAGATCAAGCGAGACGATTCCGTGTCCAGCAAGAGTTTCTTCCGCCGTTTCTGCTTCCCAGGATTCGTGAGTGCCGACACCGTGAGGTCTGGGATGTCATCTGACGGCATCCTCACTGTTACTGTACCGAAGGTAAGTCTATACAAGAATTTTCATTAATCATCTCCTTTTACATTATGGACTCCAAACGATTTAGTTCTTTAAGCACAGTTCAATAATTCCAACTTTCTTTAATCAGAAAACATCAGGATCTAAGGCCAGTGCAGTTTCTGAAGCTCACGTTTCCCAGACTTCATCTCAAAGCACTGGAGAAACTCTCACAGAGAAAACAAAATCAGAAAAGCAAAGTTTTCGCTCCGGGTATCAGAATACATGTACTAAGAGAACTGAAGCGACTTCATCGTCGTCACCAACGAACAAAATCATCAGCGAGGAAAAACAAGAAAAGCAAGAAAAAGACGCCCATAATAAAACCAGTGAAATCGGATCCATGCTTTCACACAACATACAATCAAGCAAGGACGCAGTGGACAAGTGCCTTTCCATTTCCTCGAAGGGTCATTTCTTCTCCGATTCTTTCTTCGAAGACGTTCGTAAGGACTTCGAAACGGCTGTCAATGAAGTCCTCAGCAGGCATGATATTATGGGGAGTGCCAACGACGAACTCTCCTGCTACCGAAGTCTACGGGAACGTGAGCTCAAGGATGAGACTCAGGCGATGAAGACTACAGAAGATCGAAACGGATTTAAGGTGAGGATATGACATCGTGGAGAAGTAATATCATCTTTAAATAACATTTAAAAATATTCATTTTCGCATATCTTTAATATCTTTAAAAATATATATTAAATTTGATTTATTTTCGCATCATGCCTCACGTTAAATGATACTAATATTTGCTAATATCATACTTAGGTAGTGTTAGACGTCCACGACTTCATGAACGAAGACGTCAAAGTGAAGGTGGTGGACAACAAGGAGGTGGTGGTGGAAGGTCGTGCGGAGAAGAACGACGGAACCTTGAGGTCAAGCAAGAGCTTCTGTCGGCGCTTCACTCTTCCTGGCGCAGTAGACATGAATGCGGTCACTTCAGCAATGTCCTCCGACGGTGTCCTCACCATCAGTGCACCCAAAATTTAAAATAGAAAACATTAGATATTCTGACTATTATACAATATATATGTATATAATTGTAAAATGTATTGTAATGTTAGTTAATAATCCCATTTGTATGAGCTGTTCTAGATGTTATCGATATATGTTGAAGATATTTATTAAATATTGTTACATTATATATTTTCTGAATGTATTTTTATATGCAATAAATTTTATTGATCCACTTTACCTGACCTATTGTGACATATCCTGAGGTTAGCTGAGTTTACTAAAGTAAAGATTTCTCAGACTGAATTAACGGTAAATTGCCATGTATAGGTTACAGGCATAGAATCAAATATAGTCTGTACATACATACATAGACAGAAACACACACACACACATACATCACACACACACATACATCACATACATCACACACACACACACGCACACACACACGTCTTCCATGCTCACGGTCTCTTTAATAAAATATAGGAAAATGTAACTGTCATAGCTTATCTGTTGAGAATTATGGTGCAAAGGTTGCATATGAAATGTGAAAATTACACCGATTAAGAAAATCATACCCTTAAACAGCTCATGATAAACTCTGGTACCAAAGCCAAATGTCTAGGTTTATGTATTTAAAAAATGGTATTAAAAAATAATAATAATGATAATTTCTCTGTTCTTATTTTCATTTGCAAGCCAGAACAGTCATACACATTTCCTCCCTCCCCCCCCCCCCCCTCTCTCTCAATCATGTATGTGTAAACACCAAAGGACTTTGTCACCACAAACAGCTGTCTGAACTAATAAGCGTTACAAGCTAAATTGAAATCGATAAACAAATCAATATATATATATATATATATATATATATATATATATATATATATATATATATATTATATACATATATATATATATATATATATATATATATATATATATATATATATTATATACATATATATATGTATATATATATATATATATATATATATATATATATATATAATATATATATATATATATGTATATATTGTGCGTGTGTGTGTGTGTGTGCTGTGTGTGTGTGTGTGTGTGTGTGTGTGTGTGTGTGTGTGTGTGTGTGTGTGTGTGTGTGTGTGTGTTTTGAAGTAGATATTGTCAAAACAATGACCTCCACCCATTTCAAAATATCTCTTGCGCCCCTGTGTCAGGGAATATAATTTTAAATAGGTCACTTCTAGTTCCGTCTGTTATGTTACAGTATGTTCGAGTGGACGCTTTATTGTTGTTCTAATTTATATAATTCTAGTGGCCTTATGTTATGTTCAAAATAATTAAAAAATGAAAATTAGTGTCAAATTTTTGTCGGGATATCTTCCTTTCTCGCCCCCTCTATGAATTTTCCTATCTACGGCCCTGCCCAAAATTGTCCGAATTCAACCAGTATTTACCCGACTGCAGCCCCCCCCAGCCCCCCTGTCTCCTACGCCTATGAGTAGTAACAATAAACCTATATATTATTAATTTGACACTACACTACTGACGAAAATGTATAAGTTACCCACTCAAGAAAATTGTTTTCGATATCCCCATCCTCTAAAAAGAAAACGAACACAGAGATATACAAAGTGCAGAGTATAAATATCCAGAAAGTTAGGCTTTACGGAAGGCCTAAAATCAACCCAAATTAAAGAAAAATAACTTATTAGCGTTTCTATGAACCGAAATAATCTTATAACATCGAAAACGTTCAGCAATAAAGTTCTGTGACGTTTGTAGCAAGCCGTTCGCCAAACCCGATTTAAAACGTACAAAACGTTTCTGTACAAGAACAACGTTGCGACAGGTAATATCGGTTCATTGGGATTGATTAAGTAAATTTTTTTTCTGTCTTTCGTTCTTTTAGTTTCTCAATTGTTGACTAAAGTGTGTAGATTGATATGCACGTCCAAATAGGTATTACTATTTTATGTGACAAGTGTTATGGTATATTGGGTATGTAAGTCAGGTTATTTAATCATTCACGACGAAACATCTTCTGAAACTAGTTTGTTTTATATATATTGGCTACGTTTTATTCATATCCAGATAAACCATCGCTGTAGTTTGTGATGGAATACCTAGTCTTGATGTTATTCAAAGGTGTCTGTGTCTTTGGCACTCTGGTGAAAACCAACAAACTTCCACAGCATATCTTCTAAACCAAAAAACTTAAAATTGGTTCCTTACTAGTCGTTCATGAACATTGATAGTTACAAACTTCAAGTTACCAGAATATGTTGACCATAGCCAGAATGCTGTTAGGTGTGTAGGTTAGATAATGTAATTCATTTGTAGGCACTTAGTACCTTTGTGTTTGT